TAAACAACCCCGGCAACCTCTGCTCACAATGCGTGCACCGCGCACAGATATAAGAAGAAACTTTTAATGTTATCATTAGATTGCTGGATATCTGATGATCCATCACGATTGCATGATCCATTTTCTTCGCGCAAACCTACAGAAGGTTCTGGACACAGCGAGAAAAGACACATACGCACAGAACACATGAGCGCAATCATATAGCTAATGTGTCCTGTGTGTGTTTTTTCGCCCTGTATATAGCAGCTTTGTATTTGTGCAACGAAAGTGGAGCATACTTAAACTAGCCCATACACAACCAGGTTTTTATTAAGCGTCTGTTTCAGGCTTTCCTTTTCTTTATTTGATTTCTTCTTCATACAGGCCCATATTTTTATGAGGTACTTGATATCCAGTATGTCTGTACGCCTGTGAAGGCATCATTTCTATCACTTCCCCCCCACCCCCCACCCAATTTTAAAATTTCACCATTTCGAACGTCACTCGATTACCCCAATCGCTTACTTATAAGGCGTATGTTTATTGAGATACTATACTCGTGCACTGTTGTTTCCTTTGGAATATCGAAATTCGGATTAAAATTGAATAGAGAAAAAAAAATACGTATGTTGCCTAAACGATGCGCGCCTCGTTTGTGACTTCGCTTAAGTCCGCGTGAATGCGGACTTCCATGTCGGCACGCTTGCCCCCGGGGCGCCGTCAGGTTTGCGTGCGTGGCGGGTGGCGATCGTGAGCAGAAAACGCCCCAGCATTCACCCCACCCCTCCTTATGCATTTCCACTACCCTCCTCTCACTCCAATTTGTTTTTTGTTTTTTTCTCCAATGCCAAGGGTTGTACCCTGCGCCCACACAGTACACACACAGTCCGCACACTCATGCAGAGAGAGGGTCGATAACGCAATGCCTCCACGTTGCTGAATGCGCGAAATGCACGAAACCCAGTCGTCTTCGTGTAAGCAATGACCCAACTCACATAAACTAGTTTGTACTCATTATTTGATCCAAAGTTTGCATGCAGCCTACACTCTCTAGTAAACTGTTTCCTCGAAGGTAATTGAGGAAAAGCACACAGACACAATTATATATATATATATATATATATATATATATATATATATATATATATATATATATATATATATATATATATATATATATATATATATATATATATATATATATATATATATATATATATATATATATATATGAGATTTAACAGACAGTAATGCCAAGGAATGTACAGGGGAAGTTATTAGAACCAATGGAATGTAAATAAGAAGAAAGAAGAAAGAAAAGTGGATGAAAAAATTACCAACTGTGCTCACAGTTGGTAATTGCTCACAGTTGGTAATTTTTTCATCCACTTTTCTTTCTTCTTTCTTCTTATTTACATTCCATTGGTTCTAATAACTTCCCCTGTACATTCCTTGGCATTACTGTCTGTTATATCTCATTAATATTGTGTTAAAACACGGAAAAACGAGCCCTTAGGTGTACACTTCTTTCCCTTATATATATATATATATATATATATATATATATATATATATATATATATATATATATATATATATATATATATATATATATATATATATATCCTCCTGAGTTCCAGCTATGGCGATTTGTCCAAAATATTGGACATCAAATACCCCATCACTACAAAGATCTCAGCATGTTTTCTTCCTCAAAAACCACTTGTCCAATATTTTGGACATCTACTGGCGCCCTCCATGAAGTTTTGTCGAAATTGCGCCAGGAGATCGCGAAACAAAGAAGAAAACATGGTGGCGTTCAACAGAGCAATCTTCTGGAAGTTAAACGGCGAAAGTTAAGGTGCACTTTTCTGTTGGTTTTTTATTATTTGTTAATTTTTGAAAAATAGCTTGCAGTTATTCCAGAATTTGTCACAATTTTCTTCAGTAACCTTGCTTTGCGTTGCTTCAGGCCCACTACTTAACGCTTTAATTAAGTTTCAGCGTCCAATTAGTTGGACATCACGTCATACCAAAAGCACAGGCATCACGGAAATATTAAGCTTCACTTTTTATTTTCGTCATCTACACACCAAGTTGTGAAGGTTTCAGAAAATTCCGTGGACCAAAATCCAACCCGGAAGTCAGGAGGATATATATATATATATATACGTCGACGCAATACCATTGAATGTCATATATATTACTCTAAATACACCTATACGCATACTTTAAAGAGAGATATTGAGTTGAACGGGACTTCCAGATTACTCTCCCGGAATAGAAGAGCCAGAGACCCGCACACACACACACACACACAAAAAAACTAGTGTCACCTTAAAGGGACACTATAGGCAACTATTAAATCGACGTTCAGTGTTGAAATAACGGTCCAGAAACCTCGTAGTGTTACTTGTGTGCTAAGGAAGTGTTTATTTTGAAATAAAATCACGTCTTAGTGGTCCGCATCGGGCAAGCGCACTTCAAATTACTCGCCGGACCGTCTCACGTCACTGTTGCCGCGTACAACGTTGCCCGGCATTACGGCATGGTCGCCGACAGTAGTTGCAGCAAAACAAAAGCAGCGGAAGCCACAGCAGAAACAACAGCCGCCATTGGCTCCGAGATGGCAGAGGTGTTTTGGTTCAACTGGGCCCCGCTAGATAGCAGAGCCTGTACAGTTTAACCAGGTGAAAATTGAATTTTCGAACCACTCGCGCCATTCCTTATAGTAACGCCTGGCGTTTTGTGTGTGTGTGTGTGTGTGTGTGTGAATCAAATAGAAACGAACAAGCAGCAACTTATTACGTTTGTTGATGCACGGAAGGTTCCTTATTTAGTGCAGCTAGTTTGATTACTAATGAATAATTGTAGGCGGTTCGTCTGACGTCATTGGGATCATTTTGAGAATGTCCTGTCGTAGCGCAACCTTAATTTCTCGTTAAGTAGAGCCCTGCTGTTGATAATATTGTCGTTTTAGAGGTTGTCGTACATTGAGCTTTCACTCTCACGTAAATTGTTAGTTGACTTTAGTGTCCCTTTAAGTGGAATTAAAAAAAAAAAGAGGAAAACACGGGACCAACATGTTAACCTAAGTCACATTGAAATCTCCAAATGAAACCTCCCCCCCCCCCCCCCCCGCCTCCCTTTCGTGAGATCACTTGTTCTAGCAGCTTTTGGACGTCTAGGCGCTTTCCTGCATCGCAGTGCTAGAGGGGTGACACGCATGTTACATTGTCGTTACCTAGTGTGTATTCTCATCAAACGATGCGAACAGTGTGTCGCATGAGCGCAGCAGACAGGGCTGGGTGGTCGCCAAAAGCGAGAGGGCGACGTGCTGAAAGGAGAGTGGACAAGGCAGCGGACGTCCGGCCAGCGCCAGTGAATAACGGGGAGGAAACGGCGAAGAATTGGGGTGTCACACGCCATAGCGCACGCGCCATAAAGAGTGTCTTTCGGGGCTTGGTTGCGCAGCCCCTTACATGCACTCTTTAACGCAAAAGACAAGCGTGTCATCCACGGGGAGCCTTCTCCTTTTCGCTCCCTTCCGGCGGCGACACTTCCTCTGAGCAAAGCCCGCGGTGCGCGTCTTGAAAAGGCCGCGTGTACTTTAAAATGCCTTTTGAGCGAGAGCGGAAGCGACGTAAATAACGAACACCAAAACGCGCCATCTTCCGTTCTATTCGAGGAAAGAACAACGTATACACCTTGCGTACAGTGATGCGACCAAAGAGGAGGACACTGCCCTGCTGAATTCAAGGGAGTTTGCATTTGTGAAAACACGAAAACGAGAGTGACAGGTTATGGCACACTCGGAATTAATTAACGACGGCTGAACACCGCGGCAAACGGCCCTGCCGGCGCGAGCATAGAACATCGCATCTCAGCCTTTCCAGGACTGTCGAGATGTACTACATGAGAGTAGCACGTGGCATGCCGAGTATGTTCCCTTTATTTTAGTCATTGTTCACTGACAGATTTGTAGACAACAGGGCCGCTGCTGTATGTGATTCTGCATTGTATTGCGTTGAAGTTCAATATATATATATATATATATATATATATATATATATATATATATATATATATATATATATATATATATATATATATATATATATATATATAGCGGGAGTGATAATTCAATGGGCCAGTTAGTCTTTGTGAAGGTATGGGATATGGCACAATGGGAGCGTTGTCAACAAGGATAAATATATTTATTTCCCAACAGTTTCGGGAGTCGTCCTCCCTTCATCAGGGGAGGATAGCTCCGACTGTGCAGTAGGAACCCGACTCATCCCCTGATGAAGGGAGGACCCCTCCCGAAACTGTTGGGAAATAAATATATTTATCCTTGTTGACAACGCTCCCGTTGTGCCATATCCCATACCTATATATATATATATATATATATATATATATATATATATATATATATATATATATATATATATATATATATATATATATATATATATATATATATATATATAATGTATGTGTGTGTGTGTAAGAGAGAGAGAGGGGAGAGAGAAAATTGACACCACAAAGAGTTAGGCGCTTCTACACCAAAGTTATTAGCAACAGTAACTGCCTGCCGTGTATTTACCAGAGTTAACGAGGATCCCAAATGCACTTTCTCTTCTGTTCAGTTCGAAGACAAATGCATTGCAAGGAAGGGGGCAATCACATTAAGTAAATCGATTATTGGGTAAAGTACAGTATAAAAAACTTACTCTAAATGAGCAGTGAACAGTGTCTTCATCCTTCTAAAGTCTCAACGCATGTAATCTTGAAAATTAGGCGCAACCTGCCCCTCCCTCGGTGTGCGTTCGTCTCTCACGCTGCACAAAACACGAGCCCAATCCAACTGGCCCAACTGTATACCTGTTGCTGCACCCCCTCACTTGCACGCCCATTCGCACACGCAAGTACCCACGAACACACCCCAAGAGAAGCGCCACGAACGGAACGCATGCATTCGTATTCTAACTGTGCACGCCCTCTCTTTTTGCGCGCAGGGCGGCCTCACCAACCAGCAGCAGCAGCGGCTGGAACGCGAAGGGGACGACCAGGAGGAAGAGGCCGTTTCGGCTCCCGTGTGCCGCGGCTGCAGCTTTCCGTACCTGCTGGTGCAGGCGCTCGTCCACCTGGGCATCTACATCCACAAGCTAACGCAGGATGCCTACTCAGTGTCCACCTACTACCAGGAGCAGCAGGTCTACTACTGCGCTATCTCGGTCATCTGCCTGTTCGTGCCGTCGCTCGTCTACTCGGCCTACCTGGTGGCCGACAGCATACTGGACCGATCCACGCCCGCATCGGACATCTGCACCAAGCTCGTCAACGGGCTGCTGCTTGTCCCGTGGCAGATCAAAGGGTACGCCTATTCATCGGGGGACACTCGATAAAGCGTCCCACGCCAACCTCTATCGTCAGCTTTATCTGGCACACAACTGGGAACATATGCGAACGTAAACGTTAACGATGCCGGCTTTTACGGACTCAAGGGCCTACATGCATTCAGTGTAAAGGTACGGACAATGACAGTTCTCAAAGTAACTGAAAGCTTTCACGCAGTAGGAACCCGACCTTAAGCATGTGCACTTACATAAATCAACCAATAATTCAATCAATCAATTAATTGTTTTGGAATTAACACGGGAAGTACACATCGGTATGCGAATACACCGGCCTACTCTATAGATATCATGTACAAGAATCTATCGGCATTGACGAGGGAAACTGCCATGTCATACGTGCGGGTAATATATATGGTAGAAGTAACACATATATAATCGTCAATGGGAAAATCAAGACGGAGAAAATCAGAATTTTTGATTGCTGTGCAATGCATGTGCAACACCACGCCACAATGAAGGGCTCGGCGCTGTAGCAGAGCACTGGTTGTCACTGGTAGCTTGCAAATAAGTAAACCCGCCATTCTTGACCTCCTTTCTTGCAGACACGTCGAAGTGCTTCACTTTGCGGCGCAGCGGGTGTGCAGCTGCATATCACCCTCGAAAGGCGAGATGGTGCGGCTGCGCACATTGAAGCGAGAGACCTTCGTGCTTGAGTTCTTCGAGGACTTCTACGCTGGATTCATACAGATCCTGTTGCAGCTGTACCTCATCGTGCTCTTTATCAACTCAGATCACACGTCACAAGCACGTGAGTGGATTTCTATAACAATTATTTGCACAGAATAGGGGAGAAAAAAAAACTGGATGGCCCACCAGGCACACAGGAAGGATGGAGCTCATGTATGTATACGCACTGGTGCGCCTATAGCAGCCACAGCCAAATGATATGTACCCAACTGAAAAGGCCTACATGCCTTCACCGACTCCAGCATACAAGTTCGAAGCTGGGGTTAACACTTTTCGACATCACTAAATCACGCTTCCAGAAATACCTCCGGCTGTACGGTGCTCTTCCACGTACAAGTTCTTTCTCACGGGTTGAAAACGAACGTTCTCCTCTACCTCGCTCTACCATAGGCGTGCAATAAAAAAGGCTCGTGATGATTTGTGGCATAAAAATTGCACGAACTAGAGCACTCGTTCAGCAAATACGGTCCCTCCTTACATAATCTCGCAGCTAACTATATACACATATTTATTATTCTAGTTTGTTTTTGTTTTTTTGGCGACCTGCGAAGTTTGTTAGTGCGATAGCATTTATTGCACTTGTAGTCTCGCCACGTTGCCGTCCCATTTCTGCCACAAATCAGAAGGCCATCACGAGCTCATAATTGGAAGACCAGCCTAAGACGGTCAAGAGGGCCCGTGAGAGAGCGGGGAGGCATGGTCTACCGGATCCAACCCGCAAGGAATTAGCCGACAGCAAGCCAGGGGTCTTCTCCAGGACTGCACTGGCTCAAGACTAAGTTCCCTCTGTCTGCCCATCCACCCGCTCTCCTGCCACTTGCCGCCAGCTGAATTATGAAGTGCTCATGCGGTGAGATATGCAGTTTACGTGCCGCAAACACTGACCCCTACACCCAAGTCATATTGTCAAATCACAACTGGCTCGGTGCGCGTCGATCCGTTTCATAAGCTGCTGTTATTCCACGAATGTCAAGTGAATATCAGATACTTTCCATACAGTAATGCAGTGCGAATTAATGAACAACTGCTTTTGTCTACGCAGTGATCGGCCAACTAGTGGGCTCCGCTCTCAGCCTGTGGTCTCTGATCAAGGCCGTGCAGCGCAAGGACGACGGCTTGCTCACGGGCACGCTCTCCTTCCTCGGCTGGATGTCTGTAACGGCTGCCCGGGGCCTCGCGCTGTCCCTGCTCACCGCCGTCATCCATGGCTGGGTCGTGGTCGCCTGCCTTGTACACGCAATCGCCATGACCGCCTGGATATCGAGCTTCGTGCGGGACACGCACAGGCGCCAGGACAGCGTGCGACGGGAGCCCAGCGACGGCGGTGTCGTCAGTGACTCGTCCTCGCAGGCCCCGCTGCGCAGCCCCTGCGTCACCACCATCATTATCTTCGCGCTGTTCGGCCTACCCTCGCTCGTCTTCTGGCCCATCATGTTCGAGTTCAAGCTCAAGCGCAGAGTCTTCCTCTTCATGTTCATCTTCATCGTCGAGAACCTGCTATGCTTCGGCGCCTGGCAACTGTGGGGCAGCCACACGACGCCGCACAACTACCGGGTCGTCGTGTCGGCCCTGCTGCTGGGCCTCACGGCGTCCGGGGTGTTCTTCATCGCTCTATACGTTTGCTGCAAGCCAGAGAAGACCGACCTCGTGGTGCTGCAGCACATACGTGAGGACAACGCCAATAAGTACGGCATCTACTTCGACTTCTGCAAGGCCATTCGCATCCTGCCGGACACAAGCGACATTGCGCGCGACATGGAGAAGATACGCATGCTCAAGTTAGTCAAGTGACGGACTAGTCCCTGAGGGAGAGGCAGCCACTATGCATTTCGAAGTACTTTCGCACAGCATGAAATGTGCCCTGCAAAGTGCGCGATAAGAGTGCCCAACACAGCAAAGAAACTGAGTAGTGTGTGACGTGCACCAGTTGAAGGCGCTGCAGATATGACAGAAATAAGTGTTCACTATAAACTGTTCTCCTTGCACGGGAGTGATATTAAATAAAGTTGTACTTTCCTTGTTCAACCAATGCTCTAGTAACTACTGGTAAGCACGATTGCGTAAGTTTCACACGTCTAGGTGCTCGTTAAAGCTCAACTAAACGGTGTGTATGTGAACCCAATTATGTCGTTCTATCCAATTCTGCGAGGAATTAGATGCATTGTAGTTATAGCGTGGATAATTTATTACTATACTAATATATATGACAACAGTCGCAAACTGCAAGACAACCACTCTTCACAACACCTCGGTCTGAAGCGTTACGGCATAAAACTCATCCAATGTTATTATTACGACAACAATTATATGGGCGTGCAATACAGGCGAGGTGTAGCCATGGCTGTGATGTTCCGTATAAAGTCAAAATCGAGAACATCGCCTCGCACATCGTATGTTCTATGAAGAAGTGAATGCACGCAAAGGCTGCCGACGATAGAAAAAACACGCCGGCCTCCTCCGTCGTGCGTAAGCCCATGAGGAGAGTACGATAAAAAAAGGGGGGAGGGGGGTGCCGTTCCACAAGCAATAGCGTAACGTTGATGTTGTATAACAACTAATCCACCGACAAGCCGACACGTTCTGTTAAGCAAGTGAGTACTTTGACCGGTGTGGTCGCACGCGCCATGTCCTGACCCGCGTTTTCAACCATAGGTCCATTAGACTACCGTATAGATCCGAACGCATGGGTGCGAATGTGTTTTGTACCTCTTGAGCATAAAACAATTTTGCGGTCTGCTCCGCGGCTTCTAAAGGGCCCCTAAACAACACAGAGATTGAAGTGTAAAAAAAATGTTTGAAAAAAAATATCAGAGGTGGCCTAGGGGCACTTTAAGGGGCTTGCAACACTTTTCTGAGCTATGATGAAAGGATCGATAGATGAACTTTCAACGCGATAGCGATAAAGAGCTCGTTTCGCATAAATTCTAGCGTCAGTGTCGGCGCCGTTGGTTGTGAGCGAAAAATCACCATCTTACGCGTGGCCGAAAAATCAAGAACGATGCAAATAAATTAAGTAAATGATAAAAACTCCTGGAAAAGAGTGGAGACCGAACCATGGTTTTTTGGATTTGAGTGGGGATCGAACCCGGATAGTTTGCGCAGCATGCGGTTGTTCTCACACACAGCCACGCCTCTGCTTTTTTTTCCCCATGGTATTTAATAAAGTACTTGTGCAATAAAGACAAAATTAAGCGAACAAAAGTACAATCAAATCGCAAAAGTAAGCGCTCAAGCGTTACTCATAAACACTAATTGGCTAACACAGCGCGAGTTCCTCACATGGAGAATTCTTCACATCGTGTTATACAAACAAAAAAGGGGTGAGGTCAAACAGTTCTCCAAGACGGAGTACCGGTCCGGTCTAAAGTCTAGCTCGTCGTAAATGTTTTTTAGGTGAATAGCTATTTGAATGAAGTGTGCGCTTGAAGAGGTGGTGGGCTCTGCATTGCGGTCTTGCATTCGTGTCTTCCACAAGCTGTGCATACCCATGGAGAAAAACATATCATATGGTACTTCATCAAGCGCTGCTGGTAGAAGATAACGTATTGTGTGAGAATTAATGACGAAACGTTTTTTCAGTGCTCGCTGAAGCACATCCCAAAACAGTATGGCATCTTTGCAGCTAACAAAGCAATGTTAAATCGTTTCCGGCACATCACATAGACGGCAGTTAACAGACGGAATGAAAATACCCTTTCTTTCTAACCATGTGTTTACTACCAATGTTTCAGAGTGGAGTTTATAGAAGAATGTTTTTGAATTCGGTGGAATGTACATTTTGCGCACTCGCTTCAACACATCATGGCCTGGAAGATTGGAGTACAGTGAGCGGTACAATGGAGGTGGGAAAAGTGTACTCAGTAGGTCCTTATACAGCACCTTGCGCGATACTGTGTACAGGTATTCTACAGAAAATCGAGAATTAAGGAACTGAACTGCGAGGTAAACTTCCTGCATGGATCCCCACAAGCATGGGCGTTCGGAGTTGGATGAAACAACTAAATCTGGTAAGCAATCAACAAGTGTAACCTGCAAGAAGGAACGGATTACAGGATGGGAATTGTCTCGAAAAAAGAAGAATCGGGACACTATTTGCCATAGACAAAGGTGTTTTAGTCCTAACCCACCCTCACCGCCACGCCTCTGCTTGTGAACAGTGAAAAGAACTTCCTCTGCTTGGAAATGCAGTGAAAGTATCTTTCATGCTTCACACACGCGTCCAGTACACATACTTCACAACGCAACATGAAATATTGCAGTAATAATGCGTGGTACAAGCATCCATTGCCAATGGGTGTCATGATATGTTATTATTATAATGGCTCTATCGTTGAAAGCCGGTACCCCACTGCAAAAGGCACACATGCTACTGAGCCTATTACCTTAAGGCCACGCAAAGCAAATTCGAAAGGTTTCATGCACTAAGTGTTTGAAGTACCACAGGATGTTGCTATCTCGTTAAAGTCCTAAAGGCGAAGCTTTAGGGTCCCTTAATTTTATTTGTAGTACTGAGAAATGCGACTAGCGTGCAGTGGGCTTCTCCCACGTTGGTACGGGCAAGTTAAGCCTGACCGCCGCATGCATCGTGGGCTCGGCCAAAGCTGATCCCCTTTGTTGGGTTTTTTGATGGCGGAGCACCACTTGGCCAGGTTGGCTTGATCGCTGCCCAGTAACATGGGGCATCGAGGGAACATTTGCTCTAAGTTAGCTACTTCCCAACAACGGGCTGAAATGGTCTATTAGCGCACTCTTCACGAATCACATGCCGCAAAATGTTTAAGAATCCGTCGAGAACGATTAAGTGGAGATGAAGAGATATGTCGCACGCGTCAAGACATTGCTATACTTTCGCACCAGCGAGCGCTCTGAAAGGTGCACAGGGAGGTGTATGACAAGGGGGAAAAGTGGTGGTCAGCGTTAACTTCAGTGGGAGCGCGGGCACGTGGCGGCCACGATAACTATGCAGCTGAAGATGTTCGAATCAGCCAACGGCCACAGACATATATGTATATGGCGCCGTAATTTGTGTATATGGCATCCCCTATAGAAAGAAGAAGAAGTTTTTTAGAAGTAATCATAAATCCGAAGCCTCGTGCTGCGCTATAGACGATTTTTCGCAGCAGCGCACGGGCGCTACCATGTTTGATCACTGGCAGTTTCCCAGTCAGTTGCCTCAGCTCCCTAGCTAGCGAAGCGGCCGTACCCGAGGCCATAGAGTTTCCCAAAATTGACTAGAGGGCAGTCTGGCGCTGCGATCGTTCAGCGATCATGGAAATGATGGGTAGTACACACATTTGCCTAGTCTTCGTACTTGCTGGCGGCGAATCGTACTTGAGGCTTCGTTTATTGCTGGTTACGGTTTTGATTTGAAAGAAAGAACGAACCCTTTTGAACTTAGTGACTTTATTCGAAATGGTAAGCCTAAAAAAATTAAGGTTGTGAAGCGCAAATGGTGAACATTTGCTAATTTATGTTTTCGTGAAAAAACAGCTCCAAGCCACACGAACACACACGGAACCAGAAGCAGGCCAGAAGTATGAAAATTAGACAAATGTGTGTACTACCCATCATTCCCATGCTCGCTGAAGCGTTGTGTGTTGCAGCTCCCATAGACACTAGCGCCAGAGTTCCCTCTAGTGTATATTGAGAAACTCTATGCCTGAGGCAAAGGCGAGCTTAGAAGCCAACATGGTCGCACCCATGAAGACGCGATCACCCGCTTCGATCCGAATTCACGCGTGTACTCGCCCACCATCATCACAGCCATAAATGGTGAAATCAGCTACCGCTTCCCGTCTTCTCAAGAAGGGGACAAAGCATCAGGTATGCTCTGTCTTTAATTAAGGAAATTAGCTGTGTTTATTTAGCTATGCTTGCTAAGCCTAGCCTCCAAGAATTTGAAAACCGAGCCTTGAAAAACATTGCAAAACACCGTGAAAATGCAGGATACATTGCTCTAGAAGCTTCAGAACATAAATATAAAGTAAATGCGTGCGTTATGAACTTACACGCTACACAGCGCAGGACGATGACGTGATAACATCGAGGCGAAATCTTTTGCACCTATACACCTTTTCACAGGAAAAAAAAACACCGCCATGATGGGCTGTGCGCGGGAGTACAAAGGCTAAGGACGCAGCGTTGTCAGTGCATTTTCGAGGGCTAAGGAGGGCTATGGCGGCGCCCAGGGAGGCAATTATGAAAAGGTGAATAGGTGCCGCCATGTTGACTTTTCCGGCGCGTCTTTCTGCTTCGTTCGGCATTTCCACGGGGTCTGCTTCGCGCAGACGCTATGAGGACGCCGAGCACACGACGTGACGCAGAAGTTGAGCAATGCTACCGAAGGCCACGGTACGGAGACGCATGGATGGATGTAGGGGGCGGCCACGGTGTTGTGGTACAACCTAGTTTTCAATTTGCAAACTGGTTGCGAAAAATCGTCTGTAGTACTTGGCTCGCATGCTTTCGGGAGCCTTGACCACCGATCGGCAGCGTTTTCTGACCATGCTCAAAGAGTGTCGCAGGACCCCTTTAAAATGCGGGATGCAGCAGTGAGCGCTGCAGGTAGCACAAAAATATAATCAGCATTTCACAAACATCTTCCATATAACAATTTTATTTCTTTTGACCGCAGGGACGATTGCTGGAAGGCACTTGTTCGTGTTTTACAGTAAGGCACCTCTCTATATGCGGGGAAGAACAGATCTATGATGCAAGTCCTCTGAAAATGTAGAAGACCCATTTTCTTTCCTGTACCATGCAAAACAAAACTATGGCTCATCCCAAATAGCCCCCGACGGCAAAGCAGGTCGGTGAACACACCAAGCACCAGCTAATTACGCCAAAAACATATTTCAATTTACAGAACCACCAGTGCAGTTCATATCCCACAAAAAAACAATATCATACAAGCACGAGACTCCCTTGCATTATCATTTACGATTATGACATGCTCAAAAATTAAGATTTTGAGTATAGCTGAGTTTTAACAAGCAAAAACTAATGCTGTCGCTACGTCAGAAATC